GCACATCCTGTGAAGTGCCAGCTGCTCATAATGGCAGGGAGAGATGGGCCCTGCAGGGCATGTGGCCTTGATCACCTGTGAGCCCAGGCAAGGTGCTCTGTTCAGACTGCTCTCTCGCTCCCAGTCAGCACAGGATACCCTGAATCAAATGTGACTCTTGTCCCAAATCTGGAAGTAGCACCGATGGCCAATGTCTTACCAATGCAAGAATCCAGACAGTACAGCCAGTGATCAAAGCTCACCCAGAGATCAGACCTGTCTGTCCCCACTTGTCCACAAGTATGACAGTGGCATCAGCTCTCCCCACTGAGGATTCAGGAAAGGGCTTGGGAGGGCAGGCCAGAGGAGCTGAGTAAACCATTCCAGAGCCATTGTGTTGAGCGCCTGCTGGCCTGCACTCTTCCTTGCCCATGGGACATGGCTCCTAGGCTCCTCGTGTGTGTTCTATGATGGGGAATCTGCAATGTCACCTTCGCTGGCCAAAGGCATATATATTCACTGACGCACGCGAGTGTGCCCACTCATTGATCCGACATGCTACATTTATTGCACAGCAAACATTTTGCTTCCTCTGATTAACTTTAGGCAGGCAGGAGACGGGAGATTCTGGGCCTATCCTGTGAACTGGGTACTCACCAAAATATGACATAATAGAGCGATTGGCCTTGGCTCAGAGGACAGAGAGGCAGATTGGCAGAGAGGGGGTGGGTGGGCCAAGTTTGAGCCAGCACCTGCCATTCTGCGTTACTAGGTCCATGAGCATCTGTGGGAAATGTATCCTGGGGTGTGGAACTCTATCTCAGCACTTAGAAGACATTGTTTAACCTCAAGCATTGTGGAAAACATAGAGATGGGGACCTTGGTGGGAAACCCTCACCAGGCCAGGATATGTTGTTATTGTACAGCTGTGTGATCACTGCAAATGGGAATTTGAGAAATGGTGTGTCCAGGTGGCCATTTAGAAGAAGCTGGTTTTGTGACCTTGCAGAAGGCTTTCTCCCTTTGGGCCTCATCTTTGTCATCCACAAGCACTTATGCACAGGGCAGGCTGCTCCCCAGGAGTGTCTTCTAGACACATCTTGCTGCACAGCAAGCATTCACATCTGCTTTAGCCACAGCTGATTCTTGCATCAGAAGAAAGACTGTCGTCAGAGGCCCACCTCTCCCTCTTCCACAGAAATGAAGTTTCATCTGCCCAGGTGGCAGCCAGGGGCCTCAGTGCACCTTCAGGTCTCAGTTCAGCCTAGGCTGTGGGAAGAAGGGATGCCTGCCTTTTCCAAATCTGCTCTTCTGTGAATGCACAAACGATCCCTGGCTGGGAGGTGAGGGGACCTGTGGCAGCTGTCTTGGGCTCACAGGTGGAAGCACCTGGCTGAAGATGGCAGGGTCATCTACCAGCCTTGGGTCACCTGCTTACCTGAGAAGGAAAGGAACTCTGTCATAAGTGCCTCCCCCTGGGAGTATTTTTATTCTCCCAGATCAGCTTGTATGTCACACATGGAATGTGTTTCAGGGTAAAGTCTCTCCCCAGAGTCAGCTGGATAGTTCATCCTAACTTGGGGTAAATGTTTGGGGTAAATCCCACCATCTGGCTAGTCAGTGACACCTGAGACCACTTCAAGGAGAAAGGGAAAGGACTCTAGAGGGTCCCTGGGCAGGAAGTTCATCCAGAAACTTGTACAGGAAGCTTCTGAGGCTGCCCGTGGAGGATGCCACAGTGGGGATGAGGGTGGTGCTCCTAGTGTCAGCCTTGTTGTGCCTGCTGGAGAATGGTGCTTCTAGCTCCTGCTTAGAGGAGCAGGAGCCTCAGGCAGAACCCAGGAGAGAGACGCCAGGCCTGCAGCCAGCCTCACCTGTTCAGCCCCGGTGACCGTATAGGCGTGCTGACTCACCAGCCCATTCGCCATCACTTCCGACTCGTCTGTTGGCTGCAAAGGAGGAAAGCAGACTGAGCACTCGGTGCAGCACTCAGAGCCTCTGTAGTTGATGGAGAAGCAGCTCAGAGGGCAGCTGAACAGCAGGGCCCCAGTGCCCTGGAGCCTTTTACTCCCTTCTAGAAAGACAGAGGTAGGAAGGCACAGGCGAGGCTCT